GCCCTCCCTCCCCCCCTCCCTCCCTCCCTCCCCAAATCCTTCACGTTCACCCGTTTCCCATCAAGCTGTCTCGTTCGTGATGCGCCTAATCCATCGGATCTGTCTTGTGTGCCCCTTCATGCGTGTGTTGGAACAGGCCAGATACCCCCTGACAACCACGCCGGCCTCGCGTGGTTCAGGTAAGGACGAGAACATTCGGAAGACCGGTCCTGACACAACATCATTGCACGTTGACGCACTACCCGACAAACGGCACGCTAGCATTCTGGAACGTTTTCACACTACCGTGGAAGGAATACCCGTTCGAGATTTTTTCATGATATTAGAAGGGACTGCTGTGTTAGAGTCTTGGATTGCAGCAAGGGTCTCGACGAGGGACACCTCCTGAACGCTGGTGTTGTTCCAGAGAGTTTAACGCTACCTATCTTCCTCAGTCCATGAGCCAGGTATGTATTAGACGTTTCTACGTGCTGCTCTATATCAGCTGGTTTTTTCTGTTCGTGCTCCGGCTCTTCCAATGCTCACCAAGCCGAGAGTCGGTCTATCTCCACAGGGCAGTAGCACTGGCTCTAGCCTGGACGCAGATGGAGGAGGGCACTCTGTTCGACCACGTGGTTTACCACGCATGCAATTGTCCGTGTAGCTTTGTACTCGACGCTTGAACGACTTCATTTCCGCAAATGTATCCCAATGGTGCTGCCTTCTTGAGCATCACGCGCGGTATACCGTTCTCGTCCCCTGCTCTTCTTTACTGAAAGATGAGATGGCGATATAGTCACTCGGGGTCCCGTCCGTAGAGAACACCATCAAACTTGTCCCTTTTGACATACTGTATCCGTCTCTCGTCGTGATCTATTCAACTCACCGTCTGTCTCGCTAGACATTTTCCTCTCTCTGCCCCCCCCGCTTCGCTTTGTCGATCCTGTGTTTCCCAACATAATTCTTCGCAGCTGTCTATGCTGCTGTTGGCCGATAGGCCTGTATGCTGTCATAACTTCGCACACCGTGTATGGAAGATGGAAAGGCGGCGACTGCGAGGTGAGATTGATGCCCCCAACGACAATATTCCTGTGTCGTGTCATGATTCCAAACGAAACTTGACACCGATGACGGCAGGGAATCACGCTCCATCGAATGTGTGAGTTCTAGTACCAGAACGCATACCACACGTGTAACGTACACAAACAATCCTAGCTTCCTGTTGTCCAAGACTCCATATATCAGTAGATGGATGAGCTACACAGCAGTAGTTTGTATATTTTGAACTCCTCGCAATACCACATCCAGAGGCTACACCTTGATGTGATTTGTGCGCATTTGACCGACTGCCCATAGGAGTGACGTCACTCTGTATTCATTGGGCGTGCACGACGAATTTCACAATGTCATGACGTGTTTTGACCATCATCCCTCTTTCCATGACGGTCCCTCCGCCGCTGCCCCTGCTTCCCCACCACCGCGTGTTGAACTGATATGTATGCAGGGGGCCAACCGAGCATCGGAGAACGCGAAAAATGCCTCCATCGCGGCCATCTTGATTGGGACCATTTTGTGCATTGTCCAATTGACGACTGCCGTGAATTAGTACCCAAGGCTCGACCAACCAAACATCTCCATGGACGAGACTACGCACGAGAGATGAATATCTGCCTTAGCCGTTGCCTTTCTACTCGTTTGGCGTTTTCTGGTGTCCGAGAAGACCTTCAGAATATAGCACCTTTGTAAAACGGACAAGTAGGCCGCCGGCAATGTTTCGGTGTATGCATACGGCAGTGCGACAGCGATGCATTTCGACCCTTTCACGGCGAAAGATGGTTCGCTAGGAAACTCCCTTGTTGCCGGGGCAGCCAAAGATGGAAAACGGGACGTTGTGCAGGCAGGCGGTGCCATGGATAATTCCCGATAGATGTGGATGGCGGCCAATACCTGATTTCTCGGTGAATATATGGAGTCGAACACGTGCAAGTAGGATGGGGCATCTCAGTATATTCTTCCTCTGTCCCATAAGTCTAGTCGGTTATGGGCGACAAGTCGTTCGTGTACTTAGAGGTTGAAACTAACATTATAGTCGTTAGGTTCGTTGGAAAGCTGGCGCGTCGACGATGCTGATGAAAAAAAGAAAAAAAAAGGTAGTGCTTGACTACAAACATAAGGTCAGAAACAACCCAATTTTGGGAATTTCTTGAGAATTTGGAGGCGAAGTATGGGAACCCCAAGTGTCTTGGTTTTAGTGTGGGTCCACTATTTTACTGGATTTGTTGTGGGGGGCGCGACATGGATCGTTGAGTAGAGGGGGGGTTGGGATTATGACCCTACTGTTGTTTGGTTTGCCCCCCAATGTCTTCGTTATAGTGCGGGACCCCCAAGTGTCTTGGTTTTAGTGTGGGTTCACTATTATTCTGATTTTAGTATGGGGGGACGCAACATGAATCGTTGAGTAGAGGAGGGTTAGGTTTAGGGTTAGGGAAAGGTCTTGTGTTTTTTGTTTTGTTCATAGTGTCCCCACCCCCCCCATCTGGAAAGGGGTCAAATACGGTCATTTTGGCCTGACTACTTTTTTGTTAGCCGCTGGCCCATGCAGGGTAGTGCGCAAGAAAAACAACAAAAAATGTGCTTCAACCCGAAAAACGCTCAAGATTTCAAAAAAATATCGCCGAAGACATCCGACACCGTTAACGATCTCTCCCAACATAACCGACTAGACTCATGGGACAGAGGAAGTACGAGAACGGTTGCTGCTGCTGCCGCTGCCGCTCTGATCACCGCCAGTTGGCTGGGTATCTCGAGAAGTTGTATCGTCTTTGCGCGATGGCTTGTCTGTTGGTAGACCACTGCCTTTGGCAAGCACACACGAAGTCTAGACTCGGCCTTGAAGCCTCACCACCCGCTGCAACATTTGGAGTTAGCGAGATAACGAAGTAGATCGAACGCATAGCTCAACGGTAGCGATTGGTGTTAGAACAGTTTATCTCGTCTTCTTCAGGTCGTTATTCGTTCCCGGCCGGTGGGGTAGCAGAACCGAACGAATGACAGCGGCTGTCGGCGCGGTTTGTTTTTTGTTTTGCATCTACACTCCGACGACGTTCTTCGAAGCCCCACTTGGACTCACCGGGTGGATAAGCGGAAGCCGTAGATACATAGCAGGGGAGCCGGGGAGAGTGAGCATCGTGATACTTGATCGGCTGGGCGCTAATTCGGCCGGCGAGTGCGTGTTGTGAGTTGGTCTGGATCCCCCATCCGGAATGCCGAAGCTTCTTGCGGCATTCAAACAAACGTAGACTGCTACAATGTACTATTAGTGCGACGGACGTCCGGGGTCATATGTAAAGCTTCCTCTCACCACTACCTCCATCGTCGGCCAATCCCTCTATTTCGTAGTACAGATAGGGTTCAAGACTTCTTCTTGCTGCACCTCTCCGCCACATTTGTAGCTAGTGTTGGCAAACGAGGATGAGCGTCACTCTGTCTCATGCCTCAAACTTGGGTGGTCATGACTGCTACAGTCCAGTAGAGAGAGTGGTCGACTGAACCTTCGAATGCCCAAACTACATGCACCCATCCCTTCCTTTGCGCTTGTGTGCCATATTCGTTGTGAGCTGAAGAATGAAATCTGCCCTTGCTGGACGTCCGGCGGCACAACGACTCTCAAAGCAGGTTTGTCCCTAAGCGGGTCAACATCAAAAAATGAGTGGTTCCGAGAGGTGTGGCGCATCACATACAATAACCCTAAAGCACACCCACGCACAACAGGCAAGCACGAAGGAAAGAGAAGGCTTCCCTGCCTCCTCTTCTCCACACCAGTGGTTCCGGCCTGAAGCTAGCACCATGCATCTTACCTCATGTTCCAACTTGTTCGCGATGGCTGCTCTCCTGCTTCCACCCCCTCTACCCTGGATTCGAGTGATGTTACGGTACGGGGGTGCACTTTTGAGGTGTCATCATACCGTTTTGGGAGAAATCGTCTAGTCGTGTTTCGGTGATCTTACATCGAAACGTAGCAACCAACAGGTTAAAGTAGAGTGTGTCTCCGATACCCGAAAGTGTTGTATGAGGCGACCCTCTTACCGCGGCATCACTCACACACCTCAATGGCAGCATCCACACTTCCGAGCTCACATACATGGCGTTGAGCCCACCGAAAGCGACGGCGCGGGTGGGCTCCTTATCTCCTCACTGGAAAACCAACGCCAGGGCGATGAGCCGCTGATGTCGCCGAGGTCGTCTGGTCGCCGGCTCCGTCCGTCCTGAAGAGGTTCTGCCACTCCCGCCGACCTGTCGACCCTTCTCCGCTACTGCCCAGCACGTTCGAATCTCGCCACATCAGCTTCCGTGTCTCCTTTTGCCCCGTGATCTCTATCAGCCGCCACTCAAGACGGAGAATAAACACAGCTCGCGGGGGATAGCTTGTTCTCTTGCTTCGTTCACTCTGTGCAGATATGTCACCCAAAAATTCCAAATCGGTGGGAAGGTACATGCAAAGCGTATGCGCACGCACACGACCCCCAACGGCCTATGAAGAAGTGCTTGTTTTTCGGCCGATGACCGGATGGGATTAGCAAACAAATCGACGGCACCGTCAGCAATAGGCTACTACTGTCCATGTGTCCTTTTCGCAATACTGTCCTCTCTTGGTCTCCTTTGTACCGAGAAAAAAGGCACGACCTTACATAAAAAATCGCACAGCATTGAGCCTTACCCCGCGGCTCATTACCTCGCCTTGCTGACATCTCCTGTCTTGTTGTGGTCCCCGGGATTTGAGGAGATCTACCGATGGATGGCCGTTGCCCGCCGACGCCTTGCATCAAGTGCTGTGAGAGGTCACGAACGAATATCATCGGCAGAGATTTTGATTTTCGCATTGATGCCACCACATTTTTTTCAGCATTCGTCGCCACAGTGTGTACCCTGCCTACGTCCGTGCAGTGTCGCTTCTCGGTCGAGAAAGACCCACCATTATTTCAAGCTGTTTGGGGATGCATGCAACATGTACGTAATGTACGTCGACAATACAGCGATGCATGTGGCGTAATATGTACAGTAGCAGCGGCGTATAGATTGTAAAGCTCAGCTGTTGTGTACCCGAACAGGCACAAGTTTCTGGTTCGCGGGTCTCGATCTCTGGTATCTTGTCTCTTCGGCTGCCCCGTTGCCTCAGTGCCTCAACGGCCTCCTTGCGAAAGAAGTGCGAACTCAAATCATTCGAATGAGATGCGCTGTTCGTCGACCCAGCAGCGATGTGGTGTGAGCGTCTGGCTGCCCAGTCACCATCCACCAACGACTACAGCTGTGGCTGTGGCGGGCCGCCCAACGCCGGCAACCAAGATCCTGATCCGGGGTGCCACATCGACACAGCTTGCTGACAACGGCACAACCTTGATGGTTCAACTTGTTCAACCCTCACTATTTCCGCCAAGGGCTGACAACCGCACCAAAGAAGCACCAGGAATCCAGGAATCATGCTGGCGGTTTGGCGTACACCGCGTAGGTTATTGTACAATCGGGGGTAATGCAATAAGGTGTAAGCCGGCGTGTGGACGCTTCGTGGAAAAACAACAATACAGACGAAGAGACAACAACGTGCACGCAGCGATATTTCTCAGAACATTCGTAGCATTGTGCCGTTGTGGCCATGGACATCCCGATGCCGTTGAAGGTCGCTCCCCCACACCACATCATATCTGCTGCGCAAACTCCGGACGCCCCTTTGCCACAGTCGAAGTCACCCTCCTCCAACGAAGAATAAACCGCAAGGGTGAGCATTGTACGCTGTAGGTCCTCGGTGTGCATGTAAGCTGCTGTCGATTCGGTACAATCATTTGGTTTCCGTTTCAGACGTTCATCAGCTTGGACTGCGTACTGCCACAACACACACGCGAGCCCAGGTTTACATCGCCAGACGAACACCTTGACCCCTTGTCATACTGCGCAACTACAGTAATACGATCCGCAAGAAGAGGAGATCGCGAGGAACGCCTTGCTCTAGTAGGTTGTGTCCCCCCAGCGGATTTTCCTTGCGCAATGTGTGCTTTGTCAGAGAAACAAAAGGAAGGTTTGTTCGTCGAAGCAGATAGAATAAACTGGTGTTTATTTTGTAACAGTCGAATTAGAATTTGGCTTCATTTTCTACCGGAAACCCAGGGTCACGGTGTTTGGAATTATTAGTCTATAGTTGGGGGTGTCATTCCGTGATCGAGTCCACGCAGGGGCTGTAGCAAAGTCGGGTAACGTGTGACAGCTACAGAGCGCGTGAAGCAACGGAAGGACAGCAGCAGCCGCCTAACGCAGTAGCGGCGGCAGTTTAGAAAAGGGCGGGACGGGACACGGCGCAAGCATTGGGGAAGTGACCAGCACGCGACTCTCCATATAAAGGTGTGTACTCGTGTCCAACATCCATCGTGTCGGCCGTGTTCCTATTCGCGTCCCGCTACTCTTGTGACCTCACCGCTGCGTGCATTTAGCACGAGGGGGGAGGGTGCAGTAAGATAAGCGGCGGCAAGCCAACGCAGTCTCGCTCGCCGCGCCGCTCAGATAGGTCCATTCCCAAACATGGGATGCGGTTCATCCCAACCGAGACGTACTCTCGCTGAAGAAAAAAAATGCGGTTCGTCCCAACCAGACGTACTCTCTCTGAAGAAAAAATTCAACGGCAAAAAGAAAGAGCGGGGCCTGTTGTATGGTCGCACGCTGACTTGTCGCGGTTGATAGCAGCCATTGTACTGCACGGGGTGGAGGAACCCTGCGGCATCGGACATAACCAATCGACCCGCGGCAGTAGGGCATGATGCTGTCACGATTATGCACATGAGGCAGGTGCCTTGTTTTCTGTTTCCCCCGGCTTACTAGGGACTACTTGCCGGTACAATCTTGTCTGTGCCGCGCACAGAGGGGCATATAGCTGAAGGAATCGACGATAATATGCCCACTCACGTAAGCAATCGTCTCCACGGATGGTATTGACAAGTCCCCACTGATGGTATCGACAAGTCCCATGGCATACAAAGCGGCCGCATACGTAATCGGAAAGTGCATTCAACAGCATTCACGGGAACGGATAAAAGCAAAAACACATGCATGCGAGAGAAAGACTCAAAGAAAAAGACTGAAAAACAATGAAGACGAGAAAAAAAAACGAGACAGCGAACTACGTGCTGTATGCATAAGGAAAAAGAAGATGAGAAAAAAATAGGGGGGGGAGGTGGATGTGACACGCGAGGTTCGAACTCGCGAGGAACGTCAGGTAGCGGTCCATGTGAGTGCATCACGGTCTCGAGGGGCATCACGTCAAATTTATTGCCGCCGTG